AGGAAAGCTATGGAACTCACATTGGTGAGTGGATTCCTCCATAAATAACTTTGACATTGCTCGGATCATCTTCAAAAGTTTCAACACCATTCACTTCGGCCTCAAACGGAATTTTCGGCAAAGCGGCGCTGAAAAGATGCATTGAATTTTGTAGACTTCAAGGTAGTGCTAAGTACCAAGAAAAAAGGGAAAGTTTGAGAAACGTCAAAAATTAGCACGTTCCCCTCTTACTGAAACCGCCTTAGAAAGATGAGTTCAAAGAAGAAAATTTGCATTAAGCACAGTAAGTTAGTCACAAATTCTGAAGCGGGGATTTACGTGGAGTCCTGCTCATCAGACCATTACACTCTTTACTTCCTTAGTCCCATCAATCACACTTACATAATCTCTTCGCGACATCCTTTGATGATGTCAGCCGCTTTCTTCTCCTCTTCCTCGTCAAAAAGCCATAGAACACACACAGTGATATGTAATTTGAGCGGAGCTATGAAGAGTGCGGGATTTCGAGATTCCTCCTCAAAAGTTTAATATCAGAAAGAGGATCCGAACAAATGAAACTTACGTCTCTTTTGTTATTTTGTGAAAGTTTGAGAAAGTGAACAAATATGAGACATAGAAAAGAGAATTCCACCAGACAAGACTGCGTTGAGAATTCCACCAGATAAGACTGGATGTTTTTTTTTTCAAACAAAAGTTGCCGTACTATCATTTCTACGTTAAATCAAAAAATCAATAAATCAATCAGCTGTCGTAATTTCTCGAATTTCAGGTCAGTACATACAGAATTAAAAGTGATCATGTGACCTGAAGATCTCTGAATCAGATATAAACTTACCGGTATACGTTCATTAGCAATTACTGCTTCTTTGAACATCTCAAATGCTTGGACAATTTCTGGAGTTGCGCAAGGGATTGCAATGAAATGTGTAAGTGGTGCCTGGAACAAAATTTTCAGGAGAGGAAAGTACTGATCATGAATAGAATGAATGTCTCGACATACAAGTCGCTAATTTCAAACCTAGTTTTTTTCAAAAAATCTCCAAAATTTTCCAGCGTGCGACAAAATTCATGGTGCTCGTCAACGACGCCTGCTAGGTAATCGATAACATGGCTTGAAGGCAGGGGCTCGACAGAATTTCGTTTTCCAGTTTTTCACCTTTTCG